GTTTACGGGATCGGTCGGCAAAGGCTTTCCTTGCCGACTGCTCTGCATCTTGACTGCCGCATGAATGCCACTTTTAATGAAGTGGGGGATATTTAAATCCCTGCTTCATTGACTGTGCTGGGTAGTCTAATTTACATGTCTCTGCCGGCAGAAGCATGTAGTCGAGACATACCCTAAGTCTCACCTGGCTGCAGTTTCTCCTGCACTAGCAGCTGCGGGAATGCTAATGTAGCCATTTTAATTGTCTCATCTCACTCAGCTCAGAGCATGCTTAGAAAAAAATTGTGGTTAAACTGTCAGCACCACGTGGCCCAGCACTAGTTCTCCCACAAGGAGCATAAAGGCAAGAGATTTTTAGAAAAAACGCTAGGGTAAATAAAGCCTCAATGAGCAGCTTCTGCCAAGAACACGAGTTCATTCTACTTACTTCCAACTCCACATCACTGCTATCTTTGCAGGCGTCACCTGGGAGTTGGAGCCCTGGGGGTCTGTTGGAAAAGGCACAGCCTTCTAAAAAAAATTAATATAATTTCAGAACTGGGCTAGGAAATTCCATTAGCCTTTCCTCCAGAAAGAAAGCAGGAGACTTTCCTAATCCCAGCCAGAATGTCCCATCTTTGCTCGCCGAAGATGTCTGTGTTTCTTGGCTTCCTCCTTAAGCCAAAAATACATCTCATGTAGCTGTCATCTTAGGTTAAAGCAGAGGGGTCTGAACGTTCCTCCTGCATCTCTCACACTGGTGACACCTCATAGGGAGGAACCATTTTGTGCCCGTTCACACAAAGGCTACTCTGAGCTGCCGGGTGTACCCTGAAAGTGGAATACACAATGGATGATGATTTACTGAATTATTTAGAGATTTATTTCCATGCCATGCTCCAGAGGAAGAGAGTCTAAAACAACTGCAGGGAAGTTCCTGTACAGCAACTGCAAAATTTCTGAGCTCAATAACAGCATTAAGAGGTAGTCAAAAATACTTAGTGAGGATGGGAACTTTCCATTTAACGAGTCATTCCCTGAAGCATGACAAGAAGAACTAGGATCAGATAATAAACCATCTTGTTAGTCTTTAAAGTGCTACATTGTCCTGCATTTTGCTTTAGGATCAGATACTGTATTTGAGCCACTCCAGAAGGGGTGAGTCTGCAGAATAAGTAGATACTGCTGATCTCTCCCCTCACCTTCTCTCTCTTTTGTTTCCCCATGTACTGTATTTGGCTGCCAACTTAGGCTGTAAGTCTCTGGGCAAGGGTCATATCTTTTAGTGTTTGTAAAAATAAAAAAACATGCAGGGGGCGATACTTTAGAAATAGTAGTAGTGTAGTCAGCTATACTTTCTTAATTAGTGTAGAGTAGGGGTGGCCAACCCATTAGAGGCAAAAAGCCACAATTGTTGGGGATATAGCACAAAGAGCCGGGGGAAAAAAGTTGTCAAAAAAAAAAAAAAAGACCGCTGGGACACTGTCCCTTTAAACACAACTCTGGATGGCTTTTTGGCCACATCAGGCTCCCGTTAGCCAGCGCCATCTTGCTGGCACCATTTTGCTTTGCCATGCCAGATGGCGAGCAGAAGGAAATGGAAGCCGGGGCCATTTTTAGGGGCACAGGGGTGGCTTTGCGAGCTGCACTTGAAGGGGGGGAAGAGCCACATGCGGCTCGTGAGTGGCGAGTTGGCCAGCCTGTGTAGAGAATGGCACGAGTAGTTCATGCTGGGAAATGGGAGCACTAAGCAAAAGCAAAGTGGTACTGCATAAGTGGGAAGAAGGCTGATCTTGTGATTAAGGCCAGGGTATTGGGGCTCTGTTCCCATCTCCACCATTGATTTCCTCTATGACCTTGGCAAGTAGATAGGCAAAGATCTTGAAAGGTATTTAGGTGCCTCATTCCCATTAAAATCAAAGGGAGGGAGGTGTCTCAATATCTTCCAGGATCTGAGCCTTTAGGGTCTGTTCCCACTGAGGTTCTCTGGGACCTTAAATTCTCTCTGTGCCTCAACTTCCCTCTTCCTTAAAATTTGGATGCTAGTACTTCTTTGTATCATGGGTCTGATATGATTACTAGGTGCTAATAAGGTTCTGGAGATGAGTGGGTGTCACGTGCTAGAGAGCTGCAACGCATTCTTGCATAGGGTCACTGTCGAAAACATACAACCTGCTGCTCCTTCTTATTCTCCATTTTCAGGGCACAAAGTGGCCCTCGGCTTTTCCATTTTGTGCTTGTTCGCCTGCATAGATGCAGGGGTTAGGACTGGAGAGCCATGGGCCTGAGAACTCCCCAAGAGCCAAGCTGGAATGTTAAGGCATTCTCCATATCATTGCCCTGCCCCACAAAGGCCTTTCTTTTTAGGCTGAAGAAAATGGATGTTAATTTATTCTTTATTGCTAATTCAGAAAGGAGCATAAACACGAGTGCTCCGTTGCAGAGACTTCTACCAAGGGTGTAGTTTAAGTCCAATTATATGCTATTAGTGCATTTGCTCTTTGTTCCTGTGGCATATTAATTGCATGTCTGGTATTCTGGTAATTAACACAATTATACTTTTTCTCCCCACCTCCTTCAGTAGACCATGAAGCTTTGCATTTTATTCAAACAAGCTGCTTTCAGTCGCTAGAAGAAGGCTTATGATTTATTATTAATATAATTTTTAAAATGAAATCAACAAAATCAACAGAACTCTCACTTGGATCTATAGCTGAGAAGTGCCATGAATGTCCTCCAGCTAAAATAAAAAGCATGGGGCTTTCTCCCATTAGGTTGCAGTTTAACATACAGACATCTAATGTGAATTAGAAGCCCCTGTCTGTGTGTCTGGCATGTTAATCAGTGGCTGGAGGAGGGGGGGGGGGAGTCTGCTAGTAACAAAATCAACAGAACTCTCACTTGGATCTATAGCTGAGAAGTGCCATGAATGTCCTCCAGCTAAAATAAAAAGCATGGGGCTTTCTCCCATTAGGTTGCAGTTTAACATACAGACATCTAATGTGAATTAGAAGCCCCTGTCTGTGTGTCTGGCATGTTAATCAGTGGCTGGAGGAGGGGGGGGGGGAGTCTGCTAGTTCTGCCATACATGGCCATGCCAGGAATGCTGTCACTCTTAAGGGCCCAGTCCCTCCCAGCATCAAGAGCTCCCAATTCCCATCTGTTAGTGAGAAACGAGGATGCTCGGCCCCTTGTAGGTTCACACCTATGAACCAACAAGTGTGTATACCAGTGGTTCCCAACCTTTTCAAGCATATGGGACTCCTTTTCAATCTATTAAAATTTTACGGACCCCCCTCCCAAAACAGTACAGCTGTTTTCAAACATTCCATTTCTTGATAATCATTTGAAATTTAGACTAGTTCATGTTATCTAAACAAATACAGTAGCATTGCAAGATAATACAGCATGTCCACACGGAAACGTAACAACTTTGAGGTGCCATATGTTTTTATTGAATGCAATTTTATTGGATCCACTGATCCATTTTTGCTCCCAGCCCAACTAAACCTTTCCCGCCACCCCAATAGCTTTTGAACAGTTAGAGCAGGGTGACGTATTCAAAAAAAGAGGAAAAAAATGGTAAAAAGTGACTGACCCGTTTATATGCTGACTCCAGGGGACAGTCGCAGCTTATAAGCTTCAGTGTGGGCTGAGGGACGTGCAGACTGCAGGGCACAGAGTTTCTCAGGTTCCATTGGCTGCTTGTAAATTAAAAGCCCCTGTCTGTGGGTCTGGCATGTTAATCAGTGGCTGGAGGAGGGGGGGGGGGAGTCTGCTAGTTCTGCCATACATGGCCATGCCAGGAATGCTGTCACTCTTAAGGGCCCAGTCCCTCCCAGCATCAAGAGCTCCCAATTCCCATCTGTTAGTGAGAAACGAGGATGCTCGGCCCCTTGTAGGTTCACACCTATGAACCAACAAGTGTGTATACCAGTGGTTCCCAACCTTTTCAAGCATATGGGACTCCTTTTCAATCTATTAAAATTTTACGGACCCCCCTCCCAAAACAGTACAGCTGTTTTCAAACATTCCATTTCTTGATAATCATTTGAAATTTAGACTAGTTCATGTTATCTAAACAAATACAGTAGCATTGCAAGATAATACAGCATGTCCACACGGAAACGTAACAACTTTGAGGTGCCATATGTTTTTATTGAATGCAATTTTATTGGATCCACTGATCCATTTTTGCTCCCAGCCCAACTAAACCTTTCCCGCCACCCCAATAGCTTTTGAACAGTTAGAGCAGGGTGACGTATTCAAAAAAAGAGGAAAAAAATGGTAAAAAGTGACTGACCCGTTTATATGCTGACTCCAGGGGACAGTCGCAGCTTATAAGCTTCAGTGTGGGCTGAGGGACGTGCAGACTGCAGGGCACAGAGTTTCTCAGGTTCCATTGGCTGCTGTTCGCCTGTGCTGCTTCCTCAGCTCCTGTCCCCTCCGTCCCCTGCCCATGAACGGAGCAAGGGGGCTCTCATAGCCAAAGGGAGCTCTGGAGCTGCCAGCTCCTCAAAGGTGGAATTTCGGTAGTACGGGGGGAGTCAGAGGAGAGAGGGAACACAGCTTGCTTTTGATCCTGTTCTCTAGAAACTAAGGGGCTGTGTCTAGACTGGCAAGTTTTTCCGCAAAATCATCTGCTTTTGCAGAAAAACTTGCCAGCTGTCTACACTGGCCGCTTGAATTTCTGCAAAAGTGCTGACGATCTCATGTAAGATTGTCAGGGCTTTTGCGGAAATACTATGCTGCTCCCGTTCGGGCAAAAGTCTTTTTCCGAAAGACTTTTGCACAAAAGGGCCAGTGTAGACAGCAGAGATTTGTTTTCCGCAAAAAAGCCCCGATCGCGAAAATGGCGATCGGGGCTTTTTTGCGGAAAAGCGCGTCTAGATTGGCACGGACGCTTTTCTGCAAAAAGTGCTTTTGCAGAAAAGCGTCCTGCCAATCTAGACGCGCTTTTCCGAAAAGGCTTTTAACGGAAAACTTTTCTGTTAAAAGCATTTCCGGAAAATCATGCCAGTGTAGACGTAGCCCCTAGGGAGTGAGGGGAAAGTGGTTACATCCTGTGCAAGCCTCTCACATACCAGCCAGGCGTGAGAGGCATGCACAGCATGCAAGCACCTTCCCCATGCTCCCTTAGCTTCCAGAGAACAGGGTCAAAAACAAGCCTTGAAACCGGGCCCATCGTGGTGGGCCCAATCCTTACTTTTAAAAATTTTCTGCTGCCCCCTTGCAGACTCCCAGGAGTCCACAGACCACAAATTGGGAACCACTGGATTATGCCAATGTAGATTAACCCAAAATGAACAGGTGCGTGTCAGTATTTTAACTAGAGACATTGATGACTAGCTCTGCAGTAATTCAGTTCCCAGGCCTGAGAGCTCACCAAGTGCAGAAGTCTTCCTGCCAGCCCTCTCAGGCAACGTTTGCACTACACTCCTTCCAACAGCACAGATGTGCCACTGCAGACGTACCCCTTTAAGGTGCATAGTGCAGGTGCTTTTGGTGCTGGATGAGAGCTTTCCCAGCAACAAAATAAACCCACCTCCAACAAGGGGCAGTAGCTTTGTGGCCCACCATGAAGCACTGTTCACAGCTGCACTTTTCATCATTAAAACTTCTGTTGTTCAGGGGAGTGTCTGTTCACACCCTTGAGCAACAAAAGCTTTAACAAGGCAAATGACACTGCAGACACACCCTGGCTCTCTTTTTCGCTTTGTGCAACACAAGTACGTTCCATGAGTCTGGCACATCCTGCATTGCTGGAAGGGGCTTGGATGCTATCGTGGGAAGGGTGGTATAAGAACCTTTAGGGACTCTCACATTGTACAGCAGTGGTCACCAACCAGTAGATCAGGATCTACTTGTAGATATTGGAGCCTCTGACAGGTGATCCTGACTGGTTTGGCCAAGAGGCTACCAAGTGCCAGCACTTCAGCTGCCCCTCCCCCTACTGCTGTGCATCTCCTGCCCTTTGCCTTGGTTAAAAATGAGGGAAATCCCTAGCGGCGTCTTCTCTGCCCTACCGTTAGCCTGCGTTCAAGCAAAAACTCCCACTAAACCCCAAGATTATTAATAAACTAACAAACAAAAAAGGAAAGCCAGCCAGACAGCCTCTAAGCCCCTCTGTGATGCTTGTGAGTAGTGAAAGTAGCAGCTCAGTCCTGCAAGGTGCAGGTCACCCTCAGCTCGCCATGATTTCAGCATGTGACAGGGTGTGGCACAGATTATGCCCCTAAAAAGACAGGAGGATTGTTTACACTGGCAGACAGCCTTTAACCAGGTCCCTTTCCAACAGGAGCATGCTGGCCATCAAAATAGGCCCAGGAAATGGGTTGAGAACGGCCCTCCCCATGGCGTCACCCCTGCGTGCCCCTCAAGCCCTGCCCCCTGCGTCATGTCTGGCACGCGGCACAGGTGGCAGGTCGGACTCTGCGTGCCGCATACAGCGTGGACGCGGAGCCGCTCGCAGTGAGGGGCAACGGCATGCGGACACGACGGCCCACCAGGAAATTCCTGGTATCCCGCCGAGCCAGTCCGCCCCTGCTTTCCAATCCTTTACTGGAGACTTTTTGTTTTGCTGATTGCACTGCAGTCCCCTTGTACTCGCTTGGGAAGCAGTGAAATGAAAACCAAGTGGGTAACTATCTATGTGAAGAAAGAGCTTGCTTCTAGAAAACACCATCTGGAATATTTTTTATTTTGAATCACTGTATTTAACAAACCATCGCTAGCTCTTTTAAAGGGACAGAAGAGACACTGCACTTTTATTATCTATCATAGTGATGCCAAGAAATCCCAAACAGGGATTAGAATTCCATAATTTCTCTCCTGCAGAGCTCACCGCCTATGACTACATAAAGGAAAAGTAGTGTTATCTAGTGGTTAGATCATGGGCCTGGGAATCATGGCTCCTATGTTCTATTCCTGGCACTTCCACTGATTCACGCTCTAACCTCGGGCAAGTCACTTCATCACTCTGTGCCTCACTTATCCTCTCCATACAATTCTACTTGCCTATTCCACAGGGTTGTTGTGAGAGTTCATTAACTAATGCTTGCAAAGCACATTTAAGATTCCAGGGTGAAAGATTCTCTAGAAATTCAGCGTATCATTTTCATTAAACTGGCAGCCAGATTAGATGATTCCCTGAGACTGTTGCTAAATGATCACATAGATCTGAAACTGACAAGTGATTAATTTTCAGTCACATGGAGATGTTTACAGTCTGCTTTTATTTTAAATACACAGTGCTTTGTACCTAGAACATTAAACCAATAATATTTTGCAAGAGGATAGAGAAGCACCTATCAATCCACTATTGACTTTTGGAATTTGGGTACAAGGCTCATTTGTTCGCTCCTGTATATGCCTGAAAGTGAGTTTGGTTTGGTCGAAGACTTTCTTTTTTAAAGTCCCAGTGGAGTGGGGAAGAATACGGAATCTGTTTAGCAGCACTGCCTGCAGTAGAGCAGAGATTGTTTTGATGTATGCTTTTTTCCCCACTATGTAACTATTCCCAGAGGTTGTGTGATGGGCTCATACTTATAAATTATGAAAGAAAATAAAACTAACTGAAGGTGCATAACATGCAGACTGAACCGATGATTTAAAGCAGTGTTTCTCAGCAACTGCTCTGTGGACTAGTGTCAGTTTCAGATCTCCCTGACAGTTTAGGAAGGCAGCAAGCCAGTCCCTGGTATCAAAAAGGTGGAGAAACACTGATTTTAAAAACCACATTTTGGGTTTTGTTTGGATTGGGGTTTTTTGCAGCACATTCTGATATTTTCTTAAAGAACTGGAACACTTAAAGTCAGTCGTCTGGCTCAGAATTTTGATCTTTAGACCTGTGCAGAAGACCAGGTTTGGAGCCCAGCTTTTTCTCCAGGAAGGCCGTGCAGCTGGATCTTCTGGCATTTGAGCTTGGTCAGTTCTTGAGGCTTGACTGGCTTGGTGCCCTGAGCTTCAATAGCAGGAGCAGCTCAGATTTCTATAATGTAGACACAAGGAGCTATTTCATTATTATTTTCTCCACCCCTGTCGTGGTCCAGATGCATAGAGCCCTGCTTGGATACAAAATCTGGTATCTAAATCTGCAAAAATGAGCCGTGGATGTGGATATAAAGTGGATTTTGGCAGATTTGCAGGGCTCTAAATACAAAATTTGTATCTGCATCTGTATCTATAAAAATGAGCCGTGCATGTGGATACTCAAGGATGTAAAGTGGATTTGCCGGGCTCTACCGATGCACGGTTGGTTCAGCTCTGGATTTATCCTCAGCGCTGCTCCTTTCCACAACTAGTGGGGGTAAGTTTTTCAATACCACCACCCTTTGAATCTTCAAACAACAGTTTGTAGAACAAGGCAGGGATTCTAGGCATTAGCCTCTGAAAGGGACATTATTTTCTTCTTCCATCTGACCCAGGGTGCCTCTTATGAAAAACAATCCTTCTTGCCATTAGCTGACAAACCACACAACAGCTACACAAGCCCCAGTCAGCTGAGAGGGGAAAACTGGCTCCCTTCCATTCGTATGGGCAATATTAGCAGACAGAATCTAATAAAGCAGAAAAAGAAACATGCACAGCAGAATCACAGGACAGAGAATTGGCCTTGGCCCGCCTGTTGCCAAAACAGATGCTGCCAATCATCTCCAAGTAGACTGGAAGAAAGGTCAGCGTGAAAGGTGGTTTGTGAAAGACAAAGACAAGGGCCTGTCAGGGCTAATTGCTTACAGGAAACTGAAATATTCCCCTCTGCAGCCACTGGAAGATGCAAAAACCAGATGGTACAATGAACAAAAGGGTTTATCGGGTCAACAAGCCCAGATTTAGAGAATGCGTTTGTCACTCCCCTCCCTTCCCGAATTTCCCTCAGCACATAGCTTTTGAAGATATTGTTTTTAGACAAGCACCTTTGACTTTTTTACAACGGGTGACTGGGACTGTCCAGGAAGGAGAGTTGTTTTGCTGCCTATTCGTGAGCCGCTTAAGTTACAAGGACGTCATCTGTCCTGCTGTAATTCCAAGGACCAACAGTTACGTCAAGACCTAGCTTGACCCAGTGTACTGTGCACTCAGTTGATGTAATGCCACAGGATGATTCGGGGCAGCCAATGCAGGCACCGTATTTTGGGAGAGCCCCACAAGCGGCCGCCTCAACCGTCCTACGAGAGAGAATCTAGTGCAGAGAGGCAGTAGGCATTGCCCACCCACTCACTGATGCGCACTCACTGCAGCAGTGGGACCCAGCGTGGCTGGGCAGCCTGTTCTGCTCCACCATGTCGCCCTCTCCTGGCCAGCTGTGCTCTGCTTCACCGCAGCATGGGACTGTAGCATGCCCCAGCCCCCGAGAGCTCCGCTTCCTGCTGCCACGGAGCAGTGGGGCACAGTGGGCTGGGACAGGGCAGTGCTGTGGAGCGGAGCAGACTGCCCGGGTGCTTCAGATCCTGCCGCCGTGGTGAATGTGGGGGTTGGGGAGGCGACTCCTGCTGCCACCCCATGCTCGGCCCCCAGAATTCCCCAGCTTGCTTTGCTCAGAGGGGGCAAGGTGCCAGAGCATGGGTAGGTCTTGGGAAAGGGAGGGAAAGGGGACAGGGTGAAGCAGAGGCAGAGCAAGGGTATTGCCCTAGGTCCCGTGCCTGGGGCAGTGTGGGGAGGGCTGCCCCAGGTCTGCACGCCCCTAGGGACGGCCTTGTGTAACGCAAAGAGCCTGCAAAATAACTAAATCTCAAACTATAGAGAGGGTTTTGTGGGGACTTAAGATGCTGACCCACCAGGCCACCTAACAATCCTGTCAGAATTTAAATCTGGACTTTCAGTGCGTCAAGCTGGAATCTGACACTTAAGCGCCGGTTTGAATCCGGACAGCCTCTTGCTGTCCTCCTGCAGCAGACAAACAGAGCTCTATGCAGGGCACCAGCTGGGGCCGCTCAGCTCACAGCTACATAAGAACCAAGGTCCTGTCTGCACAGGCTGAATATTAAATAGTGCTCCACATTTTGTCTCCGGTTCCTCAGCCTGTGCAGCATGCTGGGTAGGTGCTGGAGATGGCTGCGTATACATCGGCTCCGGTCCTACAACTGTAACCATGGGGGGGGGGGGGGGGTGCTTACATCTGCACAGGCCATGTCCTGCTGACCATGTCCTCCCAGATGAATCCAATTGCAGAACCTGGCTCGTAGCTTTTAAATCTCTGTGAGCTCCATGAGAGTGAAAGATGGTATCTGTATTTAAAAAAGCAACATGATCTTCCATGCCACTTCACCCCCTGCATGCTTGAGTCCTGAAACAACTGTAGATACATTCTGTGAGACACTGGTCCTGGTCCTGCAGAAGTCCACATGAGCTGAGCCACTGAGGTGCATGACAGCAGGATCCAATGTATGGGAAGGCTGACTCTTGTTTTCTAAATCACACAGTCTGCACAACCGACTGTATAAGGACAATACAAATGTTTGTTAATTGTTACTTGTCTCACAATCAGTTTGAAACAACTGGTTATATTTACGTGCCCTACCTCTGTGCTTATTGTTTTATAATGGCCTTGGTTAAGGCTTAGTCTACATTATCAGAGGCTATTGATCTAAATTACACTTCAGCTACATGAATGACATAGTTGAAATTGACTTACTTACCATAGTGTCTTCACTGCAGTAAGTCGACAGCTGATGCTCTTCCATCGACTCTGCCTGTGCTTCTCATTCTGGAAGAGTACTGGAGTCGATGGGCAAGCTCTCAGCAGACGATTTATCATGTCTGCACTACACAGGATAAATTGACTCCTGATAGATTGATCGGGTGGGTAGTGTAGAGAAGCCCTGAGATACAACCAGTGAAATTCTTTGCTGCGCTATTCCTGCTTCATCCAGCCATGCAAGAGAAATAAAACAATTATAATTTCTGTGCCATTAATTCAGTTTAAATTCAACACAGGCAATAATAATATTTTGCAGCTATAGAGGCCCTTCCTTCTGTAGCTCTTAAAGCAAACAGCACTCTCAGTATTACCATAGTTTCAGAGATGGGAGAAACTAAGGTGCAGAGAGAAGCAAAGACTTACCCAAGGTTACGCAGGGTGTTTGTGAAAGAGTCAGAAGTCAAATGCAGGCACCTGACTCTCAGTCCTGGGCTTTAACCGCATAGCTACCCTACCTTCATAGCACTGGGAACTCTCTCAAGACTGCACCTTGTCTTATCTAGGGCAGGTTAGGGGAAGTCTTGTTGTTCTCTATTTGTATAGCAGCTAACACAGTGAGGCCCTGATCTATGTCTAGGACACCTAGGTCAGCCGTGGCCAACCTGTGGCTCGCAAGCTGCATGCGGCTCTTCCCCTCCAGGCTTCTCATGGCTTGTAAAGCTACCCCTGAAAACGGCCCCCTCCTCCCAGCTTCCTGTGCTCTCTGTGGCAGGGGAGCCATTTGGCATGGCCATTAAAGATGAAGCATTAAAGATGGCGTCAGTCAGCAGGAGCCTGATGTGCCCAAAAAGCCTCTGAACGCGTTTTCTTAAAGGGGTAGACTTCTTTTTTTTTTGCTCGACAATTTTGCCCTGGCTCTTCATGCTAGACCCACTGAAATCGTGGTTCTTTGCCCAGAATGGGTTGGCCACCGCCATCCTACGTGTTATAGTAACACAAATACCACACAAACAATAATAAGAGCTTGGCCTTTAAGAATTCCAGAGCTGCCAGCTTCTTCCTGGCAGCGACCTGGCAACGTATGTGACCATCTCATTAAACAGGAGAGCAGTTAAATCCTCCCATATTAAATGTGTTTATTTTTCTTCCTTCAGACACCATTTGTGACTTCTTCCACTAAGCCACTGCCCTCCTGGCCTTCTCTCTAATTGCAGATTTGCCAATTATGTTTTGATCACCCAGCCAACTAATCACTGTCTGCAGCAAACCACCGAGCTGGGCCTATTTGCAGTGAGGAAGAGCATTATGTGTGGATGAAGCATTCATGCCCTCATCCTTATGGATGGGATCAGGGGATTAAGAGGCACAGTCGACCCTGATTAATGCTGCAGACTGAGCCAATGTTCCTTGCTGAGTGGGAGGCTTGACCGCCTCCCTATGGGGAACTAGAAGGCAGACAGGCTCGCCCCATCCAAGGACAAGCCTCCTCTTTCTGTAATTCAAGCTGCCATTCAGCAGTAGAGAAGTGGGTTAAATAGCAACCCTTTTTCTTTCTCCAAAACAAACCCTCGAGGGATGGTAACACAGTGTTTAGAGGCAACTGTTCCCAGATTTTACTTTTAAACATACACACATTCAGGCAGTTGCTCTCCAGAAACCGACCCCAAATTTACTACCACCAGAATATGGAACAGAGTTTTGTGCAGAGGCTTTTCTCTAGGCCAGTGTTTCCCAATTTTATTTGGCCACGGAACCCTTTGGAACTTGGAAGAATTTCGAGGAATCCCTACACCGAGAGGAAAATTTGTCCAGAAAAAAAACAAAAAACACAAACCTTGGGGTTTTAAGAGAAGGTCTCTTTAAGAGGAGGGAAGTGATCAAGTTCTTGCAGAACCCTTACTTTCACTTCGCGGAACCTTGCTCTAAGCTAACCATGCATTAGGAAGGTGCCTTTTTCTGAAGGAGCAAAAGCTATATCTGATCAACAGACAAAAAAACAAAAACAACAACAACACACAAAGCAAATCTTACACACCCAGAAGCAGGATTAAAATATACTCCAGGATGATCATTAATTGCATTACAGAAGCACCTTGAGGCCTCAGTTGTGCTAGGCACTGTACAATTGCATCTTGGGAAACACTCTCTGCCCCAAAGAGCTTACAGTCTCAATAAACATAGCAGATGATGGGGTAAGAGGGGAAATCAGGGGCATAGAGAAAAGAGGCAACATGCCCAAGTTCCCCTGAAAGAGAGGGCACTACAGTAAAACTCCAATAGTCCGGCATCCAATAGTCCGGCACTCCTGATAGTCCAGCATCAAAACGGCAAGAGCCTAGTGAGTGAGCTTTGGCAAAAAATGAGTCACAAGGTAACAGTGGCAGCAGCTGAACTGAGCAAAAAGGGTAAAAAAGGCTTAAAAAAACTAAAACATTACGGTATACTGTATACCGTATGTACAATAAAAAGGGTTAAGAACACTTTATATACAGTATATAATTTATACAGTATGGCTATGACTACATTGGCACCCTTTTCTGGAAAAGGGATGCTAATGAGACACTTTGGAATTGCAAATGCTGCGGGGGATTTAAATATCCCCCGCGGCATTTGCATGAACATGGCTGCCGCTTTTTTCCGGCTTGGGGCTTTGCCGGAGAAAAGCGCCAGTCTAGACGGGATCTTTCGGAAAATAAAGCCTTTTCCGGAAAATCCTTTATTCCTCTTAAATCAGGAATAAGGGCTCTTCCCTTATAAGGGAGACTAGAGAGGCTACCAAAATAGAGAACTCTATAATAATGGGGGATTTTAATTACCCCCATATTGACTGGAAACATGTCACCTCAGGAAGAGAAGCGGAGATAAAATTTCTCGATGGCTAAAATGACTGCTTCTTGGAGCAGCTGGCGCAGGAACCCACAAGGGGAGAGGCAATTCTCGATTTAGTCCTGAGTGCAGTGCAGGATCAGGTCCAGGAAATAACCGTTACAGGACCGCTTGGGAATAGTGACCATAATATAATAACATTCAACATTCCTGTGGTGGGAAGAACACCTCAGCAGTCCAGCACCCTGGCATTTAATTTCAAAAAGGGGAATTACACAAAAATGAGGAAGTTAGTTAAACAGAAATTAAAAGGCACAGTGACTAGAGCCAAATCCCTGAAAGCTGCATGGAAACTTTTAAAGACACCATAATAGAGGCCCAACTTAAATGTATACCCCAAATTAAAAAAACATAGCAAGAGACCTAAAAAAAGAGTCACTGTGGCTTAACCACCATGTAAAAGAAGCAGTGAGGGACAAAAAGGTATCTTTTAAGAAGTGGAAGTCCAATCCTAGTGAGATAAATAGAAAGGAACATAAACACTGTCAAATCAAGTGTAAAAATGTAATAAGAAAAGCAAAAAAAGATTTTGAGGAACAGCTAGCCAAAAACTCAAAAAGAAATAACAAAATGTTTTTTAAGTACATTAAAAGCAGGAAGCCTGCTAAAAAACCTGTGGGTCCCCTAGATGATCGAGCTATAAAAGGAGCAATCAAGGACGATAAAGCCATTGCAGAGAAACTAAATGATTTCTTTGCTTCAGTCTTCACGGCTGAGGACGTTGGGGAGATTCCCGAATCTGCACCGTCCTTTGTGGGTGGTGAATCTGAGGAACTGTCCCGGATTGAAGTGTCATTAGAGGAGGTTTTGGAACAAATAGAAAAACTTAATGTTAACAAATCTCCGGGACCGGATGGCATTCATCCAAGGGTTCTAAAAGAACTTAAATGGGAAATTGCTGAGCTATTATCTGTGGTTTGTAACCTATCCTTTAAATCAGCTTCTGTACCTAATGACTTGAAGGTAGCCAACGTGACACCAATATTTAAAAAGGGCTCTAGAGG